AAATGAGACAGTGTCGGAACATTTATCAGTCAGTTTAACCTGTTTATTCCGATTTATATATTTTTTTCCCGGTCCGAAGTCTTTTTAAATCCGCCAAACGAGTAGAATAAAATCGCGTTTTTATTTTCAAACAATCTCTTTAAAAAGTTTTTTTTAATTTGAATAAACAGAATAATCCCTGATCAGCTTGTGGTCCCGGTCCAGTGTCTGTTTGATGAAAACGAGTCTCAGCAGCTGAATAAATATCGGACAACAGCGCATTTAAACAGGTTTGCACCAAAAGACGCGCAAACAGCGCAGCGAGTGCACCGACAGCGGAGGATTTGTCCCGATTTGCATCAAACAAACATTTTGCGGCTTGATTTGTTTTTTTCTTATTTTGCGCTACTGTTGGAGGAGTTTCAGAGGATCAAGCCAAAAATAAAAATAAATAAAGCCAAATAAAAAAGATGGATCCGGTTTGAAGTCGGCCTCTCAGGTGCAGGAACTGAAACATGCGCTGGGAGGAAAGATAGAAATCAAAGTTGGGGGGAAAAATGAATAAAAACGGCGCGGAAACGGGTTTAATCTGGGATTGAAGGAACAATAGAGGGATTAAAGTCTGGGGGGACAGAAACTGTGGCCTTCAGGGGAAAAATCCTCCTGCAAATATATTTAGTTTTTTTCTCACTGCTGCTGAGAAGCTGTTTATTATTTAAATGTTATTTGTTTATGCAGGAGGTGCAGAATAATAAATTAGATGTTCAGATCGAATCAACATGCAGCAAAGGTTTGATTTAAAAAAAAACAGATCAAGAAATAAAACAATAATTAAAAAAAACTTTTATGAAAGGATCACTTACCAAAAAAATCACTCAAATTTTAATTTGTCTTAATTTAAAGGTATATTGGATTAATTAGAAGCTTTTTTCTTGCTTTTTAAGACAAAAACCATGAAGGAATTAATAAACTTTCTATTTTACTCAAATGTTATGACAAAGATAACTTACAGATGAAAAAGTGAAAACTGAAGTTCACTGAAAAGTGAAAATTTAATCAGTGGAAATTAAATTATTTTGAATATGAATCCTTCTCAGAAACTAAACTCAAATATTTAAAAACAGTTCACGACTCTCATTTGAAATGTAAAAAATTTTCATCTGAGAATGAGTAAAAGTGTAAATTCAGATCCATCAGAGAGCCTCTGGTTCTGCAGGTTTCACCAGACAACAGGAGCAGAAAAGACCTCAAAACGTCCCGAAACCCGTCTTCATCTGGTCCGTAAAGGYGCCACAACCAGAGGAGCAAGAACAAAATGAAAACATCTTTATCTCCCAAAACGCTGCAGAGCCACTGAGCTGCTGCTGGAGCTCCGACTCGTCTGAAAACCAACCTCTGCTGCAGAAAGAACAAATACGGACGACAGTTTGTGCTTGTTCAACATGTAAACATGGTGGTTTTTAAAGCAGAGTAACTCACGACAAGAAGCTGAAAAAGATACAAAAACATGCATACAATCAATTTACTTTAAAAAAGAGGGAAATAATTGGTTGTTTTGCAGCTGCGTCCTCAGAAGGCCACAGTCAGTGCTGTGCCCTGAACTCAGCTGAAGCGCCTGCTGTGAACCGTTTGACCTCCTGACCTCTCGCCCGCTCCGCAACGAGCGAGTGTGGGTGGACCGGAAGCCGCTGACATTTAGTTCACACTCTGTCCCGGGACGTGAACCGGAACCGAGCCGGACCGTTCTTGCTGCATGAGCGCTTCGATTCAGATCTCGGMGAGAGCGATAACGACTGATCCGCCAGTATTTGGCTGAACGAGACCTCACAGGCCTCGTGTGAGAACGACGGCGAGTCGAGGGACCAGGAGATGCACCGATAGCGGCCTGCATGCTGGGACTGCGTTCTTCCATTAACGAAGAAAAAAAAAAACACTCAGACTGTTGCTCGTCTTTCATTGGCTGTCAGAAGCAGCCAGACCTTGGCATCCTGGCGTGTTCATAGGCCGGTGCGAGCAGCGAGAGGTGACATGGAGGAGGATTATATTTACCAGGGAGGTTAATCTGGGGTCAACTGTACAGCGACGTGGGTGTAGTTCGGCCCGGYGGCTCYGGTTTCTTTGCTTTGTCAGGCCTCRATTTGTCTTGAAGTCTGAGCGCACGAAGCTGGAAGCTGCTGTAGGTGGGTTTTTATTGGGGGTGTGCGTCTGTTGTGGGATTTTTGAAGTGTTCGGCAAAGCCGCCGACCACCTCTGGAATCCAAACTCAAAGACGAGAGAAGAGTCGCTTTGAGTGGGCTCCACTGCTGAGTCCAAGTCCAGCCGGCTCAGGCTCTAAAGCTCCGAGAGGAATCCGAAGAGTCCTCCCAGGGTTTGGAGGCTCGGCGTGGAGCCGCCTTTTTCTCTTCAGCTGGGTGGAATTACAGGAGCACACTGGTTACCTGATCCCAGAGTGTGCTGGGAGATTTGGTCACCTCTCTACTTCTGTCGGGTGGACTGATTGCTTCGTCGGCCAAAACTTGTAGCTGATAAGCAGTTCCCAAACGGTGCCGCTTGTTTTCACACCGATGGCATCACGCAGGGCGCCAGGCCAGGACTTCCTGCGTCGCGAGGTCCGAGAGTCTGACAATGTCACAGGGGGGGCTGCTGCTTTTTTGACGACGTCGTCACATCCTCAGGGTGAACGACAACAGGAGAACGGAGAAGCTTGTTGCAGAGAAAAGAAGTGTTAAATGTATATTTAGACAGGTTTTAATTAGTTTTGGTAACTAAACGTTACAATTCAAAACAAAAAGGAAACAAAGGTCCTATAAAAACAAAACTTCCTGGTTTTATGGGTTCCTCCACAACCCCACGAACACCAGTTGATTTTTTAAAAATTTCATCTAAAATGCAGATAAAAATCAAACATGATTCTAATAAAGATGCTAAAAAGGCCCATCTGTCTTAAAATTTACCGTCACAGGCTCCTGATTTAGTTGAATAGAAAATGTACTAATTTTGAAGCTGAATACTCAGTTTTTTGAGCTTTAGTTGGTGTCAGAGTAAAGGCAGTGATGAAATAGAAATACAATTATTTTCTTGTTTCTGTCCTTGTCAAACAAAAAAGATGTATTTACTTCCTCATCAAATCACAGATGAGCCTGATAAGAAAACGTAGCTAAATTTCACAGCATAAGACAAACTATTTTTCTGAAAATATGGATCTCTGGTCACCTGATCGTACATTTTCCCCCTAAAAATGATTGTAGAAATAAAAGTTTGGATCAGGTTTGTTAAAATGTGTTTAAACCTGCACACTGTGTATTTAAAGGAGACACGTTGTGCTGGTAAATACTTCTTTTTCACATTTAAATCCTTCAGTTGGGGTCTACATAAAGTGGAACTGCAATGCTTTGGTCTGACTTCCTGCTTATTGTAACTCCACAAGCCCCTCTTTCATCCCTTTTCTCAGGTGTTTCTTGTTTCGAGGCCGTCTCTTTGAATCCAAATGAGGGGCTTCACACCTTTTAAAGCTAAAAYGTTGAAAAGAAAAAACATTTTTCTATGGACAATCAACACGCTGCCACTACATCTGTTGCTCAACGCTTCGTACAATGGTTGCACGGAATGCTAAAGGGTTAGCATTCATGCTAACCAGCGGAAAAAAAACAAACAAAAAATGGCTGATTCAGCACCAGAGTGTCCCACTTCTTGTGATCCAAACGCTCATCTTGAGAAGCAGACGGCAGTGAAGCAGTCCACCGGTCTTCCTGCTGATGGTGAAGCAGAGCCAACAGGTCCGGTGACGGCAGCGTCGTGTTGCTCCTGCAGAAACGCCTCCCTTCAGGTGGAGCTTCAGGTGACGACAGCCTCGCTTCCTCTTCCTCCTGGAGCGGCTGCAGCGAGCAGGGGCGGATTAGAAAAGGCATYCGAGGCGTATTGTCTCACCTGGAAAGGATGTGGCGAAGCCTCGTTCCAACTTGTTTTCTCCCTGCAGCCCCTCCATGGAGGCTCGCCGGCCCGCAGGCTCCAGCGCTTCCCATCGAACCCGACGTCTCCGCGTCAAGACGTTTCCCCTTTCGTTTACTCTGCTCTTCATTGACAAATTTCTGTTTGCAAATGGAGGGAAAGTGGGGGGCAGTAAGTAGGGAGATTATCTAAAAATCAAACCTCATTTGTGACCTTTAACCTTACATAGCTGGGAGATAATCATGCATGTTTGCCTTAGTGAGGAAAAGAAGAGTTCCTTTTCTTTTGTCAAATATCCACCTTGCAGAGGTCTGTGGCTTTGAATATGGAGGCAAATTATGGAAAATGCATGAACTTAAAAAGCAGTTGGAGGCAAATAAATTTTCATTATTTCCAAATTAGTTGTTTACATGCAGTCACAGGGGGACTATGCTCCTGGGGGAAACTAAAAGTCGACAAAAACAGAAAACTTTAAAGGTCTTTTTCTTTTTGGTAGAATTTGGCAGATTATCATCCTGTCTTTTTCATCAYGTTGCTTTTAATTTAATTTAGTCAGTTTGTTTGAATCAAAGCAACAAGTCAAAGGTTATGACAGAGTTCAGAACCATTTTATGTCAAATTTAACAAATTTTCTGACTTCAAATATGAGAAAATCCTTGGATTTCATTGAATCTCCCAGGGAATTATAACTCGATCTTAAAAACAAAAATCCAATTTGTTAGTAAACCTGTCTGTTTGTGAAATGGTCTTCTATCATGTTTGAGGGATTTGACTCATGCAAATCAGCCCCCGGGGGGGAGGGGTGGGCAGCAGCGGTCCAATCAGAGCCATCATTAGATGTGATCAGGCTTCTGCAGAAACTCTGCACAGCTGTTGCACTGAGGAGGGGTTAAAAAAAAAAGGGCAGATAACCTGAGTGCTGGAGGCTTGATTCATTTCCAAAATGTTAACAAGGCCGTTTCACAGCTCCAGCACCCCGCGCAGTATGTTAATACCACTAATAAGCCTATCTCTGCAAGTCATCACGGATGGCAGAGATCTGAGGCGGTGTTTCACAATAAAGCTGCTGGCCGTGTTTTAAATGAAGCATTTGTGATTTTACAAAGCCGCCTTAATTGCTTAAAGGGGTGACCGAGGAGACGGTGGGCCCTCGCACTTTGTTTTGTGTATCGTGACATTTAATTTGTGTTGTGAGACTTTCACTGTTTCCGTTTCAAACAGGCGACTGCGCAAGGCACCGGGGGGTGGGTGGGAGAGGGGACCCGGCACGCGCCCTTTTCAGCCAATTTCGCAGCATTTCTCCAAGCTGTCAAAGTCAAACAATCAGGAGATAATGCAGTTCTGGTTAGTAAAGTATGAACGTGTCAAGAGATGCACTAAAGGCACTGACAGATGCCACTTATCTGCAGCTGCCTGCGCTGTGTGACTGTATCATCAGAGGGGAAAATATAACATTTTGATGTTTACATAAGGGAAGTATTAGTATCAGTCAGAAATGTAATTCCTTTAACTCATCCCTCTCGCAGGGGATTGACTGCCCATAAAACATACAATGATTTTTTTTYCTTTTTTAAAAGCTAACAAAACAACAACAACAAAAAAAGGGAGCAGAAAAGCATCCTCGTTGATCTTCTGTCCATTTCCAGCATCACTTCTTGTATATTTTTTGGTGGAAATCCTCTTAGAATGCAAAGTAAATAGATTACGATACAGTGAGGGATTAGAGCTCGCGCGGCGCTGTCAGATTAGTCGGTGAGCGCAGCGCGTCGACAGCTCTGACACGACTGTGGCTGCTGTTCAGGAAAGGGGCTCCGCGCGACGCTTTAAAGGCGCTGGCTGGCTCCTGTTCATGAATAAAACTGGGGCCCGTAATCTCAGCCAACACACACACACACACACACACACACACACACACACACACACACACAC